TGATTCTGTACAGGCTCATTTCCAAATTGAATCAAAGTAATGGAAAAAGAAGTATGAAATTCCACTCTCATACTTGCAGGGTAGCAGTATAATTAATTACAAGTAGTGAACATGGCTCTATAAAGGTAGACATTCCCAAATGACCTTTCCCTTCAACAGCATTACCAGCTCAGCTGTTAAGCAGAAGATAGTGTTTTGTAAACATAACATTGTGCACATACAATAACACATTGTGTACACATTATGTAATGGCAGATCCTTTATTCTTCTCCAGTTAACCTGTAGATCTCAAAAGAAGGAAACTTCTCACTAAGGATGATGCTTCTAATGGGAATCAGTGTCTTCACGGCCGTTTTGGAGATAAATAAAACTTGGTTTGCTAATAACAGGAGCAGATGGCCCAAAGATTGTGTATCACCACTGTTTCCTGCTTCACTGAGCATACAATGTGATCTGGATTGCTTCATGGATTGGTCTCGAGTAAATACTGTGCAGAATAACACACAACCATGTATGACCATACCAGTAAAGCATCAGGGTGCATCCTCAACTATAACACCTTCTTGGGAAAGGTGTTGAAGTGGACAAGCAATGAAATCCGATTTCCCACTGGGATGTGGTGGCACAAACGAGAGTCAATGGGAAGCAGTGAGTAACTGAGGATCAGGGACTTTACTTGCTTGTACTGCCCAGCCAACAGGAGCAATCTCTGCCACTCATGTTGTGAAAAGCTTCATGAAAAATTAAGAAGGAAAAAAAGGAATAAAACTGCTTAGAAAGCTTGAGAAAGAAAACAAAACAAAACAAAACTCCCATGAGCAAAGGTTTGCTGAAAGATTTGGCAACTGGTTGCAAATACCCTCACAGGGGGAAAAAAATACCCTCTGGGAAGTCTCTACTGCATTAGAGAAGGGTAAAACAACCACCGTGCCTTGAGGCTAGAGCCAAGCAAAACAAAAATCAAACAAGATTTTAAAGATGAGGCCAGTTATTCACTGGAACAAACTTGTTGGTTTTGAAAACTCCTTGATGTTTTCAAATTAACATCAAATGACTTTGTGTATGCTTTAACAAAATACAAATCACTACATTGATTAAAGGCCTATCAATGTAAAGGTAGTGTCCCCTGTGCTGGCATTAACCTGTTTGATCTTATGAAGAATTAAGTAATATTTTTCTACAAACTATGTTGTAAGAGTTGTGTGTTGTTAATATCTTTAGAAGGGATGGTACATTTATTATTCCTTCTTAGAGCCATAGCCCCACCCAAGCATGATCTGTAGCGCTGTATCTAACACAATCTCCCAGGCATATAATATCAAAGCTAATCCAAATCTTGTGTGGAGACCGCCCCGATGTGCTCTCCATTTAGATGGTTGGAGTGGCTTTCAGACTGCATCTCATGCTACCGCCTGGGGTGTTTGCTATTGGTCCTTTGCAGAGCTCAGATTTGTAATGCATCCAAAGCGGGAGAAGAAAATACATATATCAAGTTTACACGGCATTAAGGACTTCAAGCTTTTTTTTTTTTTCCCTGTTTCTGGCATCTGTTGGTTCCTTCTTGGTCTTACCGTCATTTGGGAAAACGTCTGCAATAAATACGCTCAGATTAGGTGCTCTAAAACTGGTATCTGGTGTGATGAATGAGCTCAAAATTCTTGTTAGTGTTAGGAATAAAACTTGTTTTGAGTCCTTGCAGGTTAGTGATTCATTCAGATTACAGTGCAGACTGTCTCATTACTGGCATGTTCAGTGGAACTTGCAAAGGAGAGACCTCTTGGGTACCAGAGCTTTGCAATCACTAAAGTAAAGATATATTGAAGTTCAGAGAGACTGCATGACTTGCCTTAGCACATCTTCCCTTAGCTGTCTGTGTGCAGCGCCTTCATGATGACATCAGCTTTCCATATATTACAAATATCTCGATAAAGATGAAATGTTGCATGAATAGGTCTGCATATTATGACTGCTGTAAATCATAGGTAGGATGAATCAGGTTGCATGAATATATTCTTGCATTAGGACTTAGTTGAAATTTTCCTTATTATAAATATTAATATTTTCCATAAAGTAGATATTTTAAATCTACTCATTCCTTGACAAATTTCCTGAGAGAAGCATGTAAGGTGAAGAAGGTAATAATACTGTGTTGAGATTGGTAACTTTGAATATAATTGAATTTTTGTACACAATTGACATAGATATGTTTAAAAGAAAAAAAAAAGTTATCTGGGAACCTCTTTTTGTACCTCTTGCAGCACGAGGCAGCCTAAAATATATCTCCAAATACATATGTACCAGAGAAGAGAGCAGTGACTATCGTCCATCTGTATCAGTCAGTCTTAAATGGGATATGAACAGATTTAACTGTTTCTCACAGAGCAGAATTTGAGCCCTGCGCACCAAATCTATTCTGGTCCTAAAGCAGTACCTAGTTCTGATGCAAAACTTGTTTGTTTAGGGATATTTCTAACCAACATGCTTAAGATGAGAGAGTAATATGACTGCAATTGGCTCTAAGATTTAGTATCAGTGTTTCTGCAGAGGCACCTCATTTAGTACAGTCTGCCTTCAGGCTCTGGGAGCTTGGCCTCTGGGAGCAAAGGCCCATAGCTGTGTGCACAGAGGAATCTGTCTTCTCTCCACGCTCATTATGAGAGCAACCAAAGCCCTGTGTCATTTCTGAAAGTCAAAAAAGTGCATTAGCTCTGCTGAACTATAGGAGTAGCAGTGGCCCTTACTGGTCTGCATTTGTTACTTCTTGAAGAGAGAGACCTTGTCCCAACAAATTGGAATTGGCCATTTTGTACATCTACCATCTTACCAGCTCCACCTGATGTTGCCTTGCCACCTGTATTTTCAGACTGATGAAGTTGACTGTGTGGACAACGTGGTCAAATAAGGAAAACAAATAACAAATATGCCAGCAAATAACAAACATATTGGCTCAGGAGGATGTTTGATTGCAAATTAATTATTTGTGTTTCCCAGCTTGTGTTTTCAGTTCTACCAGACTGATGTGACACATCCAGTTGTATTTGGAACTATTTAACCATTTAATGATTGTTTGATTACGTCTTATAAAGCATTCTGCAGTTTATCAGCTCAGTTTCCAAATATCTCATTCCCCTTCCTTCTATTTGATCACTCAGAATGACCACTGATGAAAATTGAGCCATTTTAAGTGTGTCTGTCTGACATCACAGAGCAACTCACACCAGAAGAGGTTTCTAGAATCTGATTTTCTATTTTTTATGATCTGATAGGTTGTGGGGTTTTTTTCCCCCTTTATTTAGATTGACTCAGCTCTGGGTTTTCCAGTTTCTCTATTTCCTCAGTCTGATGCGGCAGTGCTGTTAGGATTTAGCTCACGGAGATTTGTAAGAAGAAAGTCATCAGCTGCTTTTGATTTCTGAAGGAAAGCTATATTGCAGAGGAGGGGCTGCTGAAGGAAGAAGGAAAGTGATGTGTGAATTATAACTGTGCTTCAGCGCTATCCAAATGGGTAAGACATGTCCTTTCCCTCCTTACAGCTCCAGCAATGCACTGGGGCATGAAATAAGGGTCTGTCCCAGCAAGCACAGGCCCTGCACTCTGAGGGTTCAGTCCATGTTGCTCAGGCAGGAAAAAATAAGAACTTGAGAGTTTATGAGGTAGCAACCAGAATGATTAGGATGGCTAGGAATACTTTTTTTTTTTTTCTTTTCTTTTTTTTTTTTTTTTTTCTGGAGGGAAAAAAAAACAAATTTAGCATGTTACCCACTGTGACGTGTCTGAACGTCAGCTGAAGGTGGGCAGCTAACCCCCAGGATTAGCACATTTCCTGAGGGGGAGGAGAAAACCTTTTACCCAAAATGCAACAAGGCAAGTGAACTTTTATTGTGGATGAGCAGTGGGAAGCACTGCCAGCAGCAAGCTAAAGTGATGAGTGGAATAGCCACCCGAGGGAGGCTGGTCAAAGGTTCTTTGGGTTATCTAATGAAGTGCTGTTAACCTAGCACCCTTTAGCTTCAGTACCTGAGGATTTTTTATGAGTAATTTAGTTCTGGCTTGTATCCCTAAACTCATTGGATACTTGGAGATTTTTTTTAGATCATATTTCCATAGATTTGTAGTGTTTTTCTTTCTTTCTGTGTGAAAAGCCACACAGCTAATAGCACACATTCATCCTGTAGAGAAGGATGGTAGTGGATCGAGCCCAGGAGCACCCTGAAAGCCCTGGTAATAGGAGGGTATCTTGGTCAGATTGGGCAAATCACCTCCCCACATGCTGTTTGGTGAACAAGACTTCTGGCACCAACATTTACCAGCTTCCGAGACTGCATATGTCACCTATAACAACAACAGGTAAAGAACTCAGTTTTATTTAGAGAGAAATTTAGAGAGTTGTTTTAAAAGTTTTGACTAAGTTCTTTTAAACCACAGTGGATAAAGCTCCGTCCTGCGTGGCACCATCCTGCCCTTGCACAGGGTCCTGTTGAACTCATCAGCAGAGTTTCACCATTACACAATGCAGAGCCCAGGCCCACGGGCCTCACGCTGTTGCAAACGTTGCTGCAAGGTGCATGGCTTCTCCTTCCCTCCCAGCTCCCCATCAGGGCCATTGGTCTTCCCGCACATGATCCCAGCAACAAACTGGTGGCCAACACCACAGCACCTGGTAGAAAAAAACACCCAATAAGTATTCGTGCGCTTTCAGCTCCACTTTGCAATTTAGATTAAGGAGGAGGACCCAAGAGCACGCATGGCCCAGGAGCTCCCAGCCACCGTTCGGGTTGTGATTCCATGTCCTCGGTGCAGCAAGATGCTCCTCGCTCTCGCTGCGCTCCTTCTGGAGGCTCGTGGGCCTGAAGATGAGTGACACGACACAGAAAGACACCAAGCCAGCCTGGGATACCTGTGATGGCATAAAAAGGTCTTGGTGGAGGCGCCAGCATGTTTCCCTTGCGGGCCTCGCTCCCACAGGGCTTTCCAGGGTGGGCTGCAGCTCACGGGCCTGGCTAGAGGACATAGAAATCGTTGTTGTTCGATAAATCACCGTAGTGGCAGAGGGCGAGCGTGGGCACTTGCGCCGGCGCGGGCTCTGCCCGGCTCCTGTCCGGAATGCCCTGCGCCTCGGGCCGGCCTGAGCCCGGCTTGCAGAGATGAGTCTCCCAGCGGGCCTCGGCCACGGGCCCGTGTTTGTGCTGCAGTCCGCTCTCGCCATGGCAGTGGGTCACGCAGCAGCGGCAGGCCAGGAAGCGCTTGGCCCGGTGCTTGGCTCTCGACCCGGGCGTGGAGGGCGCTCCTGTGGCGGCAGCCGGCGCCTGGGGCTGCCCTTTCAAGCGGCTGCGGCGCCGCTGGACGGCGTCGAGGCTGATGTCTGACTGGGAGGAGCAGCTCTCGTTCCAGGCCGAGCCGGCGCTCAGGCTCCGCAGCGGCAGGGCCAGGCGCAGCGCCTTCCAGAAGTGCGAGCCGGCGCGCTTGGACTTCTCGCCCTTCCACGTGACGAAGGAGACAGACTCCTTCAGCTGCAGGATGCTGGGGTGGGAGCGCTGCAGCGGCCTATACTCCACCACAATGAGTTTGGTGGCGATGGCGTTCTGGCACATGATGCCCAGCTTGAACTCCAGCAGGCTGATGCTCTTCTCGGTCAAGTAATCGGGGCTGAGGACCACAATCATCCTACGGCTCCTCTGAATGAAGTCAAAAACGGCTTCAGTGGTATCTACGGGTACAAGGGCAGAGGGGAGGAAGAGGAAGAGAAAAGCCAGGAAAAGCTGTTTCACGGCACATCTGCACAGACAGCCCTTCCCACAGGAGAAGGGCAGGGGGTGGAAGCCCAGGGGAAATGCAGGAGTTTCCTAAGGGGTAGTTCAAGAACCATCTGCTGCAGCGCTGGCGTCCTCTGCATCAGGAGAGCAAAGCGAAGCAGTCACATAGTTGGGCCTCAGCTCGCACCAGCAAGGCTAAAACCCGCCTCCCTCCCGCTCATGCTGCTAATCCAGAAATGGAAACATCCAAACTTAGAAGTCGGGAAACGTCAGTCTTAAACTTCTCCATCAGTTCCCCTAGCTAGGATGTGGGGTGAAAATACTGTCCTTCAAAGCATTTTTTTATGGCTAATTACAGTTTGTAAAGCACAGCAAGATGCTTAGCGGGAATGGTGCCAGGCAAGGGCAGCATCTCTTTTATTATGAGCACTGAGAAGCACAAACCTAAAGGATGTCCTTGGATTTAAGATATCTATGGCTTGTGATGCAGTAAGCATCTTGAAGGTGTAATGGCTAATGGGGGAGCAGTGCAAAGGATGGGAATTAATAGAGCCGTGGCACTTAGCAAATCAAATCAAACTGATTAGCAGAATGGTTGTGAGAACTTGAAGAAAATGGAAAAGCTGCCCATTTGCTGAGTGCTGGTGCCTGATACAGGGGGACCTGAGGACAAGGTGGTGTTCACCAGGATAGGAAAAGCTAGAGCAGGAGCTCTTGCAGACTCTGTGAGAAAACCCTCTTGTAGGATATGTCTGGTAGAGAATTTTCCTGGGGGAGAAGAGTTAATTATTGTTTCCATCTCCTTTCGCATTGTGAAAATCACAGAGAAACTATGCAATGGGAAGTGGAAGTACCGCAGCAGCTTCAGCTCTCGTTTCAGCCCCACTTTTATTTAGTTTATTTGCTATGAGGGGTTGGGGCTGTTCAAGGCGGTGAGAGCAGTGGGAAGGGAGAGCTCTCTGCAACTGCAAGCAGAAGAGAGTGGTAATTCAGAGGGCTTCTGCCCTGGCATGTTGTCCATGCTGGTATCCTGACACCAGCAAGGGCTGATCACCACAAAAAAAAAAAAAAAAAAAAATTTGATGCCCCGTTTTGGAAACTTTCCTCACCCTCTGCCAGTAGAACAGTGGTGTTTTATGTAATAAAAATACTGCTCCTTCCATGCAGTGCCCTTTATTCTTCCAGCACTTGACTGTTTCTGTTTCCTTTTCTCGCAGTGGAAAGTGCACCGTGTTGCACCTCAATGCATCTTATTTTAAAACCTCACAAAGAAATATTTTTTTCAAAGACAGCTGTAAAATTCATTGTCAGAAGATTACTTGAGGACCAAGGGCCTGTGATAAAAAATAACTGAACAATAATCTTCTAAGGGATAGTTAGAAAGTAAGGTACTGTCTGGTTGAACAATGTAATACTGGAAAATAAATAAAGCTGTTTGGAGTATTTTTTCTTGTATGCAGCTTTTTAGGGATTTTTCCCCACAGCCAGAGGAAAACATTCATTAATTAAAATCAAAAATAAATGATAAAGTCAATTCTATCAAAAACATCACTTAAAGCTGCGAAATGCTCTAACCACCCTATTTCAAAGGCACAAAGAATTATCAGCAACCAACAATTTACTGAGTCCAGGTCTCATACAAACCTTTCTATAACTGATTGAAATCTATTCTGAAATCATCTAGGCTATAGCAGTTTGTAATAAGAAAAGCACCTTTACTAGTTTAAAAGACTTTTTCTTTTTTGAAACTGAAATCACAGAATCATAGAAAAATGTAGGCAGTAACAATCCTTGGGAGGTCACCTATTTCACCTTCCTACTCAAAAGAACAGATTAAATTAATGTGAATGATTCCTGTTGAAATGAAATGTTTTACACTGAGATGACAATGATGGTTTTCTTTTATCAGATTTTGAGTTTGCTATATTTTTAGAAACTCAAAAGTTCTTTTCAGCATGGAAAAGGTAAGAAGTACATTTTATTCCTAGGAATGGGATATCCTTTAGACTTGCCTAGCCAGGACAACTCAGGTCTGCAATCAGATGTCCAGATTATCCAGACTATTAATTCCACCTCACAAAACGTCTCAGGTGGCCATTTCACAGGGTGCAGGCAGGGTGCTTCCTGCCAGTGACACCAAGAGTAGGATGGGACACCAACAGATACCAACAGAGCTGGAAATCAGGTACCCTTAGATACCTGCCTTTCCCCTATAAAGAAAAAGGTAGATTTCCAAGTTCTGTCCAAAACTCTGGTTTGGTTCTTGGTCTCCCAAGCAAAGGGATTGTGTTTCCTTCTCATTTTTCTGCCCTGTGATTGCAGAGTGAGTGCTCCCTGGGTCAGACTGTGTGTGTGTGTGCCTGTACAGCTGCTGGGTGACATGTGGCTGCTGCATGTCTCTGCATTCTGCCTTTGTCGCCCACATGGCAGGAACAGTGTCCAAGGCTGGGGCTGGGGTCTGTGGAGCCAGGAAAATCCCACCTTCTAAGGAGGTGCCCCCAAATGATCTTGATGCATGGCCTATACAGAAAATGAGACTCATGAGAAATGTCCAAGGACTGAAATGCAAAAGTGAAAATGTTTTATTGAAAAGCAAAATAAAATAACACTGACACTTCACAGATCATATAACACAAAGGCAAAAACATACAGAAAAAAAAAAAAAAAACAGAAGGGAAAACTCTGGAACAGCTGTAAAACATCAAATGGCACAGGGGGAAAATATCCATTCCAATTTGTGCAAAGCTGTTCCCCCATGAAATAACAATGAGGAACTTTGTATGAGCTGCATATTGATAAATGTTCGGTTACAGCACAGAGACCCAAATGAATCAACTGAACTAGACAAACATTGCGACGGGCTCTTCTAATGGAAACCACATGTGGCAGAGGAGGCAAGGGAAGGTTTAGTCGAGGGGCTTTGCAGAGCTGCACTGCAGCTGACATTTGGGTTTGCCCCTGTTCTGGCAGCTTCCACCAAAGCCAGGGGTCAAGCTTCAGTCCTCTCCTTCCACACTGCTCCCTTCAGACCTCTCACGCCCAGTTTGGACCACCTCACCTTTTGTCTTATGGATGCTCTGCTGAGCTTTTGCTTCGCATCTCTCAATAACCCTGTTCTGGTGCTGCAGTGGCACCACAGTCCACTGTACTTTATGCTACAGAAAGACCAGACCCATTGTTCATTCGGTAAACTTTTAGAATATGAACAGCAAAGTAAATGAGGGAGCTTTAATTTCCTAAATAATAGGACTTAATAAAATATTAGCAGAAACTCTCAGTGCTTCAGCCAACAGTGAGATGTGATGTGGCGAGGTCTGCAATGTTAATTGAATTTATGCATATTTCTGAAACATTTTTTTAAAAATCAAATTGGAATCTCACACAGTTCTGCTCTGGCCTCAGGGCCCTCCCTCTGCCTGCAGATCTGGCAGCTGCTTACAGAGATGCTAAAAACATGAACAAAAAGACGAAGCTGGGCAAAACGATGCAGTCACAAGGGCTTCACAAAGCTTAGCATATTTCTGGGTGCTCTCTCATACAAATGAAGCCAAATGGAGTATACGAACTCGATGGGCCTTTCTGCAGGCAGGGAGGGCTCAACAACAGCAAAACTTTTAAGCACCTCAGAGCACATGAGACCCCCACTGCCTTCAGTGAAGCTGACTGCATTTTTTCACCCGCTTAAAGCAAAGCTTATCAGGAGTGGGGAGGAGGATGAAGAGGAAGGTGATAAAGAAGAAAGCTCTATTTGTTCCACGTTTTTACAGTACCTGGCCCAGTGGTGTGGTACCACTGCAGTACCATCAGTAATCTTAAGATCCTAAGGGCAAGGGGGGGGTTGCTGACACCATGAATCAGCCTCACACTTTTAAAGCTGGGCTGCAGGCTGGATCCCCTCCAAAACCTCACAGCCCGCTTGCAGGAAGTGTGCATGTGCTCCAACACGTAGTGCTTTTTAATACCTTATGTATAGCTACACCTCACCCACTGGACACCAGCAGAGCGAGAGCATGAGTCAGAGCTGACTCGAGAGTGATCATTATCTACAAAAACTCAATGTGCATTTAGTGTGTTTAACACTGGATTCCACAATTATGTGGGAAAGTAGCTACAGAATATTAAGGAACCCCCAGAGCTTGTAGTATTATGTGAGAACATTGTGATCAACAGCACCAGCCAAGGCCCGCTGTGCTCTGGTCTGCCCTGCAAGGGAAGGGACGTTCCCTCTTCCTCTGCAGGGCAGATGCATTAACACACAGGCCCTTTCCTGTGCCTGCTGCCTCCCATTTAAGCCAGGACGGGTACTCTGTGGCTTTTGTGAAAGGCTGCAGAAGCTGAGACAGACCTTCTGTTCTGCAGCTCTGAACTGCGAACAAGAGGGACAGAGGTTTGCTCTCTAAAAACCTGAGCCCTGAATTACAAAAACAGCGGTCATACCCAGACAGTATTATCCAAGGGGTACTGTCCAGCTGGATAGACCTAAGAGCTTTTAAAAAGGGAAGTTTAGATAAGTTTATGGGGTCCCCTGGGAAGCTGGGCCCATCATAAAATCATAGAATGCTTAAGGTTGGAAGGGACCTCAGAGGTCATCTAGTCCAAACCCCTGCACACGCAGGGTCACCTAGAGCACGTGGCACAGGGCTGCGTCCAAGCGGGTTTTAAACATCTCCAGAGAAGGAGACTAGATACCTAGTGTTGTGCTGGTGCCCTCAGCAGCACTTTCCACAATGCTTTCCCACTGCAGCAGCACAGACAGAGCAGGGGTGTTCAGTAGTAAATTGGGGTGCCTTGCAGTGCTTGTGAAGTCCCTGAGTTTATTCTACAAATAAGCACCTCTCACACATGCTCCATGACCTGTGCTAACAAGAGTTTCCCTGGGATTAAGGGCATTACAGCCCTGAAGGATCTGGGACACTCGGAGGACTTCAGAGCCCCAGACACAGACTGCTTATTAGTAGAAATTTCAATTCAAACAGCATATAGCAAAGCTTTAAAAATACAAAAATGTTTGTTTCTGTAACATTCATTTTACACTTGCAAACTACCTGAATGCATCTACATCCCCTGAACGTGGGGAGAGACAACAAAGAGCCTCAAGAGCGTAGGGGTTGTAGTACACTTCCCCCATGGAAGCAGGAATCTGCAATCCCACAGGAGCACGAGGTGAGGACACATGTGAGAGGCACCACACCAGGCACCCAGTTCGGACTGTCCCCCGGCCTCCAGGGTGGGGGCAGCGAACAGGAAGGAGTGTAGCTGCTTAGGAGGGAGAGAGAGCCCTGCCTGGGAGTTTAAAGAAGGGGTGGAAATTGGAGCTGGGAGTACTGGCCTGTCCTGCCATGCTATCGCCTCAGACTGGCTGCACCTCACCTGCACAGGCCAAATTCAGACCTTGAGCCTGTGGCTTTTGGAGCTGATTAAAAGCGTTAGCATTTGCAGAAAGGAGGCGCATTTTTGGTCAGGGCAGCAGGAAAGCGGCAAGGAGGCAAAACTGTCCTCTGAAATGTTTGGGACAGAGTCCTTCATGGCAAACTCCGAGTTCCTTTCCACTCCCCAGCCTAACTTGTGGATTTCTTTTTTTTCTGATAGTCTCTAATGTTTCTTAGGGAGAAATATGAAGGCTCTTGCCCATCAAAGCTTGAACTCTGGCTAATTTTTTTTACTGGCATTTCCACCTGCAGCTGCTTCCAAAACCTGCCTTTTGGAAACTTGGATTTCTCGCCCTTCCATTTAATGACAGTCAAGGCTGCCTTGGCCTGCTTCAGCTCCTTCACCTTGCTCTTCTTGATGGCTTTGTACTGCACTAGAATGACTTTGATGCTGCCCTTGGAGGCCATATTCTCTAGACCAGCCTTGAGCTCCAGCAGGGCCTGTGTCCCCTGCAAGACGTAGTTGGGGCTCAGGACAACAAGGAGGTGGCGGCTTTTCTGGATGAAGCTCAGGGTTTCATCTGTGACAACTGGGAGAAAGAAACATCAAGGTGGTTAGTGATGGCTGAGAACAGGCTGCTAAGCTGCTAAGGTAATTCCAGGTACCTCTTCGAGGGGACAATAAAATCCCTTGGGAGCCCCTCCAGAGACTGTGCTGCTGCTTCCCAACATTGCAAGCGATCCCAAGTAGGGTCTCCTATCCTGCAGCTGGTACCCACCTCCCCAGACAATGACGTCCAGTGCTCCCAGCCTCACTCCACATGCCTGCTGATAATACGTGGGCACGGAGTCTGAGATAGCTACCTGTAAAAAGCGCTGAACTATGTGGCAATGACACCTTTTGATGCCAGGACCAATTGGACCACACATAACCTCAAGTGGGAAAAATACAAACAAACAAACAAAAATCATTTCAAATAGGTGGCAGGAAGCCTATGCTTTAAACCTCCTTTGGCTGGTGTCCAGAAAAACTGCGTGTGATCCTTTCACCTCTCTTGCTTCAGTTTCCCAACAGCAAACACACACAAGAATAATCTATGCCCTCCCTAAGTGTCCTTACAGGTAACTTTACTCTGGAAATCCTGTTAAATACTATTTTTTTTTACAACTGCTCCTGTTACCATGATTGATGAAGGCAGATTTGTGTGTTTCTAGACATAACAAGTGCAACTGCTCAGAGGATTTTTAATGAAGTGTCCAAAAATGACACCCTTAGAGCTGAAGACATGTCCCGGTAACTATGGATCCTCTGTGATTTTCTAACCTCTGCAGGTACATTGTCCTTAGCCACCTTTCTGTAATTAATGTGAAGTTTCTTTGTAGCTGTGAATCCTCATGGTTGCTCCCTGTTGCTGGATCTCCCACACTTCATTGACAACAGAATGTTCTTGACTGGTCAGAAAATACAATGGAGAATAAAATAACACTGATACATAACTTCATTTAGCTGTCAAGCACGTTTGATTAGTTCCTGTCTAGCAGGATAATCCATCTCCCACTGCTTCTTCATCAAGGACAACATAATTCTCTACCTATGACACAGATGCACACACCAGAGGCAAGACATCAGCTGCCAAAAGCTCTTTCCTGGCCTGGCATCTCCTCCCAAGGAGGAGATTAGTCAAATCCCAGCTAAGAAGCTGTGGGAAAGCCACAATAATGTTGCATATGGCACTGCAGTTAAAAGTGACCCTCTCAGGGCTCAGGAAGGCCTGGCCTTTGAGTTTCATCAGAAAAAGGCAACCAGTGAATACTGCTGTGTATAGAGATGGGAGCACGTTCCAGGGTGGGAGGGGGGCTCTAGGCAGACAGCTGAGCTAGGGGAAAAATGGGAAGGATGGAAAGAAGTGGCAGAATGGAACAGGAGGGAGATGTATGTCCCAAGGAACTACTTGTGAGAACAGGCCTGTCTGTAGGAGCTACCTGGGGCTGTTTGGAACTCTAAACCAGAGGGTGTTCTGGAAAGTCCAGTTTAACAGCTGGGCTGCCTGGCAGGCAGTGTCTGTGCAGGAGAGAAGTGTAGGACACATCTATCCATTCAGTCTTGTGTTCATGAGCTTGCAACCCTTTTGAAACAGGCAATGGTCAGCACTGGTTCAGAAGAGCTTTTGCAGTAAAGCTGCAATGTCCTTCTTCAACCCCCCTCAGGAGCTCTGCATTGGGACATTATGATGCCAATATTGCTGTTCCACAGACAGCAGCTGGAACAAGCCAAAGGCAACCTGAGGACACGCTCCTCTGCACCAAGCACAAGACTCAAGTTCTCAGCAGGGCATTTCCTTATGGCAAGCACAGCTCAATATGCAGCCGTATGTGTCCTTGACCATGCACACAGCAGAACAGTGGGGCACATGGGGGCATATAGCATGACTACTGTGCTAGCTGTTCTTTCACCCACATCCATGACCAAGATAAATGGCAGGTTGACCCAGAGGTTCTTTTGCCATGCAGGCTGTTGTTCACCACAACACAGCTCGGATGATTTTAATCTTTAGCTCTGACTGATTTTTTCCTCTCTCTCACTTGGCAGCAAATTGGATCAGGGTTGAGTGGGAGGAAGGAGACAGCTGTCTGCCTGCATCCCCACTGCCATCAGTTGAGATCTTCTCAAACTTCAGCAGCCAAGGAGTGATGGGCAGAGACCACAATCTGCTGGGCAAATTCCAAAGGCTGCGTGGCTGCAGGCAGCGTGGCTAGCCAGCCATCAGGCAATAACTGCATCAGGATAACAAGCCTTACTAAGTAAACCTCTTTCACGCTGCTAATGAACACACTTGTGGCCTACAGTCTTGAGCAGCACAGACAGAGGAAAGTTGATCTACTTATTAGCCTATGTTAGGCATAGGCTCTCTAATTAATGAAGGCAGGTAGAAGACCTCCTGGGAGGACACATTATCTTCTCACTGGCAGGGTGCTCTACATCCTCCCTTAGGCAGAAACCCCTGGTATTTATGGTCATTCAATAATACTGTCTGAGACCTACCAATCTGGTCCAGTATTGTCCTCTCCTCTATCTGTCTTTCTAACCTTGACTTTATTCCCATTTCTCAGCTCAGCTCAGAGGGCCAGTTGCCTTGTGTTGATAAGATACATCACTCCTCGTACATTACTCTTGCAGAGAGAAATGGAGATGAACAACCTCTACCTCTTTACCACATCAGCCTTTCAGGTGACTTGGAGCAGCTGCTACATTGTAATATGAAGCAAAACTATTAGAAAATACCAACAAAAGATGATTAACAGAGACGGGGAAAATAGAGAATAAAATTAAGCTAGAGAGGTCAGCTCCTACTAATTATCAGTACTACAAAGACAATAATGAAGGGAGGATGAGCATGCAGCACAACACCCTGTGAAATACTCACTTCCCCCAGGGAGGCTGTCTCTGTCGAAGATACAAAGCTTGTACCCAAACTCATTCTCCAAGACTCCCCGCAGCGTCAGCAGCACAAATTCCTCCTCTTCTGCATTTCGTGCGTAGGACACATACACATCATACTCCTTCCCATCTGAGCATTGGGATTACAGAGAACCACAAGGAACAGAAAAGACATTTGTGATACTGGTTGAGTCTTTCACTTGCTTCAAAGGAAAAAATCAAATGTGAAGACCTACTTTGAGCTATCAGGACTTTCCAGGTACTAAGTCTGTGGACTAAGGCACACTGATCTCTATAGTTAGAAGAGAGCAGTCATGTACCTTAGATTACCCATCCAGAGGGTCCATACTACCCAGACACCACCACGCTGCTGAAGCAGAAGACTGAAGCAACATGACCACCTCAGTCTGTCCAGAGTTCCCCTTGCACGTTTACATCTCTGACATTGCTGCTGTCAAACCCCATGAGCAATCCCACCAGAGATTTGCACCCTCACTACATCCTCTGAGAGTCTTAGCACTCTCTCAGCAGCTTCACACAACAGGCTGTAAAGCAAGAAATTAAGATCCTCCTCATCCTACAGAGGGAGAAATCTCAGCCCAGAACCCGAGAGATGAATTCTGAGAAGCATAAGAAGGCTGCGTCAAAAATGAGCATAGACAGGTCATTTCCAGATCCTACATTTTAGATACCCTCCCCTTTCAGATGCTTTCTTCAAATTAAAAACAAATTACATGCGCTTCTTTAATCCTTGCACAGGGTGACTAGAGAAACTTGGCAACTCAGCTCTGACTGTTTACATCACATTAAATAGGCAGTCTTTAGTGGAGCAGTGTCTTGCAAGCCTGACATGTCAATGTTTTACCCCACTAACAATATGAAGGATTTATCCCTGTCCTTCCCTCAGGCTCAAGTGTGACTCCTCTTGTTCTAAAATGACCCAGAAAACTGCAGGTACAAACATGTAAGATCAAAATGTTATTATGTTGTAAAGAAAGTTAAAATGAGCTTATATGGAAATCCCTACATACAAATGAAGGGTTTGGGTAGCAACAGGATAAAATTAAGATAACATCTTTAAATCCTTACCTAGAATGGTTTCATCTGTTCCAAAATGAGCCCGATAGAAGAGAACCATTTCAAGCCAATAAACATGATAGATGACTATCAGCACCACAACGAGCAGGATGGTCGCTCCCAGTCCACAGGCCAGCTCCACGGTGTACTTTGGTGGCACAACTGAGTTTGAAAAGAGGGATTCTGCTTGTCAGGGCCTTCAGCTAAGTAGGAACAAATCTGCATCATATGTAGCCAAGGAGCAAAGGAGAACACTGGGAATAACAGCCAAGAGCTAAGCCGACCCTTCAGAGGAACAAGGCCAAACCAAGGCCATTCTGTTAGGACACACCATGGCTGGCCACCAGTGCCCTTTCTGGGTTACCAAGTGTAGATGGGACTGGCAGGGCACAGGCATCAGTACAAGTCAGAGCAAGGGTTGGTCTTCTGCTTCTGAGTGAGATTGTGAGCAGACAGTTGATACAACAACCCATAGATGGAAACCACTCACATAGTTTAAAGCCAGCTCATGGATTGTGGCCCTCCCAGGACCACGTGCAGCCTCCTAGAGCAACACCACAGCAAAAAGCCAACCAAAGCTCATCCTCAGCAAAATAAAAGCCATAGCCACCATCTTCCCTTCCCATCAAACATACACAGTTCTTGTGGCTTGTCCACTGGTAACAAGAATATAACTAGCTATGACCTAAATTTCTTTCTGTCAGGAAAGAAGAATCTGGGTCTATCTCAGAAAAGTTGAAATACTGGCAAACAAATAGGGCAACCTGTGCACACCAAACCACAAGAGAGTCCCCCTCCATACAGGGTCTGAAAGGGCATTACTGTTTCTTTATAGTAAGGACAGGAAATAACTCTAATTATATATAAATATAAATATTTAAATATAATTAAATATTTAAATAAATATGTAATATATAAATATAAATATATAAGTATATAAATATATAAAAATATAAATATTAAACTAACTCTGGGTAACTCCATTTCTATGGTGATTCAAGTGGCAGATGACATGAGCACTAATAAACTGCATGATAAGAATAGTAAATCAAAACATCACCAGTTTATAAAAAATTTTATTGGAAACCAAACCACCAAAAAGAAAATGGAAGGAATCTAACAAGTTTCATCAGGTGATAACAGCAGCAGGAAAGATATAGAAACTAATAATAAAGGAAGGGGTGGAGAGACTTTTTTTTGCAGACAACCTGTACAGCTACTTTCTAAAAACCAGAAGGCAAGTGGGGGATTAGGTTCTGGCACGCTTGCTATTCCTATGCATGATGGGATGATCCGCCTTGAATTTAGCTTAAGATTGTTCTGCCAACAGTGGTCTGGGCTCACTCTTGCAATTTTGCTGTGGAATGGAGCAGAAAGGAAGGTCTTTAAGTAACCAGGCTTATTCAGAGGGAACCTACTCAACTGCCTCAGGTGCAGCTGGAGCAAGCAGGAGAATGAGAAGGGAACAGATCCTAATGATCAGCCCATTGGAAACAGCATTTAGGTACTGCTGAATAGAGCAAGAATTTGAAAGCTTTAGATTCCTTGCTGCTACATGTGCAACCATTATCATCCCAGAAGAATTAAGTATGTAGGATGAACACGCTGGTATATGGCTCCAACCATTTAAATTGTGTTCCTTCCCAATGATCCAGGGGACCATATGATGGGATCCCTAATGATGGGACTAAAGAAAAGAAGACTACTACTAAGTATATATTGACCTTAATAGAAATAAGTTTTGTAACTTTATCCTTCCAGCAAGCACACTGGCAATACACTGTATGAAAGAAGAGAAAGAGCTCTCCCAGTAAAGACATCTGTGAGGCCTGCCATGTTAACTGGGCAGAATTTGAGGTAGAAAATGTTTTTCATTAGCTGTACAAGGAAGGGCAGCATCTCTTATGGGAAAGGGGAAGTTTAAGTTGCAGCAAACAGGTCTCAAAGGTCTAGAGGAGGCTGATAAAGAAGCAAAAATATCCACCTTAGGAAATCTCACATTCCTATACTAAGGCTCAGTTCTTATTTTTGTCAGATGCATTTTATAAACAGAGGATACACAACCCTCTGTATAGGATTGATAGCCAGCTAGCAGTTCCTGGGTCACACAAAACTCTCATGCAGCACAGAGTTGCCTTTGGCCTGTGAGGCAGTGGGAATCCTAGCTAGGCAAGAGATCGAGTAAGCCAAGCCTGCTAAAGACCCCAGCAGCCCCCTGTATTCACCCACACCCAGTGCAGCCATGGAGTAATGCAGTCCCAGGGGAACCACCACCATCCTCTGAAGGGGACCAACCCGTGCTCCTCTCCCAGCCATACCATGGTGTCTCCAGGCTCACATATCTGATTCCCATCTCAGTGCTATATGGAGGTTTGTTCCTCTGTATCTACTTATCCGTAAAACAACAACACCCACTTGGAGAAAGGGGTTCATAGCTCTTTCCTTGCTCTTCCTCTTTCAGAGGGAAATAATCTGAAACCATTTTTTGTATAAACAGCATATGCCTTTGGGTCTGTTTCTGTTGTGATAATGGATGGGGTGGGGGAAAAAAAAAAAGTTCTGTCTCTGTATTTCTTTCCTGGTCTTTGACCACAGTAGGATGCATCCGATATTCATCCTTTGCAAAAAAAAAAAAAAAAAAGTGCAATCTGGGCAACAGTAATAAAGCACTATGTACAGAATAGTGTGTATTGGGGAAAAGCATGTGACAGAATTTTTTGTACCCCTCCTGTTTTGTAGCACTATCAGTCCTTTTCAAGCGTGCCATATTTTAAACTCATGCTCCACAAATAATTTACCTTTCATACGCACTACGGCCTGGCTATGGTTCTCCCCTCTGGCATTTCTGGCATAGCAAGTGTAATTGCGTTTCAAGTCCTCTGGTGTGGCTTTTGGAACCGTTATAGTCTTTATGATAGTTTTGTCTTCAAAACTTCTAATAATTTCACTGGAAGAGAAAAGTCAGAAAATTACACATGTGAAAATGCAGAGAATTCTTAGTGACAAATAGTCTTTCTGTGATGGAGCTTTAGCCCTTCTTTCAAAACCACTTGAACTTAAGAACTGATAAGATATATTTCACATTTTAATATTGGAAGTTTCAGCTGTGACTGTTCCTTTATCTGATTTTGCTTATGTTATTTTGCCATTCATACTTCTCTCATTGCAGATGTGTCATATTGTATTTGAGAGATAAAGAACTTTTTGCCTACAAAGCAACAGATTTTATGAACTCTGGATTCAGAATCCATCACAGACTTCTTGTGCAATCCTGGATGAGTCACTTTATGCCTGAACTTATCATCTGCAAAATGGTGATAATATTACTTTCTTTTGTCTCTTACTTTTCTACATAGATTTGCAAATTTACTGTAGTAGCAACTGCCTGAGACATGTTGTTCAGTACCCAGCAAATGGGATTCTGAACTTCATACGGGTTCTTCATCTAATCGAACCTCTATTCTTCCTAATAACTACTATATATAATATTACATTTTTGTTCTCAGCCTCTGGCTTTTAAAACATATATTTCATTTGTGCTATTTTGGAACATTCCTGCAAACGAAATTGTGCCTGTCTATCTTTTAGAAGTGAAATCTCACAGCAGATTTGCAAACCAGAGCAATTAAGTATCTGATACTTGCAGCTGTTGTCATCCTATCAGGACCTGAATGAGTGATGGTGCAAACAGCTGGATAAAGTTCCTTCGAGTCCTTCTGTAAGACTAGGCACAAGAAGTGCCCCCAGGCCTCCTCACCAGAGCTTTTGACCCTCATCATCTGGCTTTCGGCAAAACGATACATGTGGGGTATTTGGTCCTCAGTGTTTGTGGTGAGAGAGCAAGAGTAGAGAAATGCTAGGAGGCCTCCAAAGATTTGATCTTCTTTTATGCAGAATCCCTCATCTAAAGACTTCCCTTGGGGCTGGGACAGTCACATGAACACACATCTGCTGAAACAATCTCTGAACTTCCATTCAGAAATGAGCTGTCTTGTGGTTCTGTATGCCATAAGTCATTGTACATGGTCAGGGACTGAGAAGCTCTACCAGAGGTATGGTACTGTTGCAGAACTGTACCTACGACTCCTCTGCAGGATCCAAATGAAGGTCTACCTTACTAAGGGTTACCTCTGTGTGACTTTTATCTTGGGGTCCATGATGTCATCTGTGTTTTTCCCATCTATAGTCCACCAGACCTCAGTCCGAGAGTCCTTCAAAAAGGTGAAGAAGACTTCACAGGACAGTACAAGCTCATCTCCTGGGGAAAAAGAGAGCATAGTGAGGTGGATGGCATGGCAGAAGCAGCACCATCCTGAATCATGTGCTTTCTAGTGACTTTGTCAGCCTGAGTTCTGCCTCCTTGCAGGAGGGAACAAAGCCATCATACAGCTTTGAACATCTGATAATGGTTGAACATCTTGGACACACTAATTCGCGACAGACCAATAGATAGGAGAATATCCTGCCTTCCTAGCTAATTTAGGAATTCCTTCATTGCATTGAATGGTTCACCCATAGGAGATGGCCCATGCCTACCACAAACAAGGTCGATTCCACACAAGTATTTTGTTGTGAGAACACTTGTTTGGCTACTTCACCGCAGGACAAGGCTTAGGAGCCTAAATCTTTGCAAACCAGATCCTAAGTGACTTTGCCTCTCAGCTGTGCTGTGGGAGAACTCTGGCCTTTTGAGTCGGAAAGCGAAGTGAAGACTGGTGTTAATCATCATCATGGGCACCATATTTTTTACAGCAGTCAACTGAGATCAGCTTGTAATGGGACAAGTTTAGGGAACTGCTCCAAGGAGCTATCCATCTTAACAGATGGCATGGGGGAAGGGGTGGAACACACTATTACACAACGCTGTGAGGTCAGCAATAGGAGGCCTGCCATTAATTAGGAAGTAACCGGGTAAAAGAAGAAAGGAGGGGAGATAAGCAAAATGTGGCAAGAAGAGTGAAACCACCGAGGGGCCAAATGAGTGATGGTTGAATCGAACAGGCAGGGAGAAGGCTGAGAAAGTCCTACAGGGATCCAGCTCCTATATCTCCATGTCTGAATACCTAAAAAAAAGAAACCTGTGCGTTCAAATAAACTTTTAAATGTCTCCTACTCTGTCATTGAGAATGGGCACCCCAGGCAGGGAAAGGACTGTGGGAGCAGAGGAAAGGAAACCCCTCTGTGCTTGTCTACCCCATCCCTGCGGACACGCTGCCACTTACCTGGGTCCAGTTCATAGACAACCTTCTCATTTGGAGAGATGAACTGAGGTGGCAAGGCCTTGTTGGGAGAGCCTGTGGGAGAGAGCAGAGTCCCCCACGGGGGATGCAGATTTCAGGAGACTCTGGTATTTTACAGTTTTGCCCATGCTCTGATCTAGCTCGTAGTACATCCCTGCTGCAGAGTTTCATCCCAGTTCCCAAATTCGGGGTCTTGCACTGAATTGGAAGCTACCCCAAAGCTTAGGTACAGCTAGATGAAAGCTTTTGACCGCTCTCACATCAAAACACCCCTATGTTGCTCTCATTTTCCATGAGACAAAAATCTATAATAGAGTTTATTTTTATTGTTGCTCCTAAAAAATAAAATACATGTTTCCTGCCATGAGTATTTAATTCTGCTCTGAAAGCAGCAGTCACCACAGGACTCAACATATGACTACTGTTCACCAGGTTTCTAAGCTCCCTCTACATCTCATTGCCAGCTAGACTGAGTCCTTATCACTGGCACAGACCTCTCCAAGGTCTGTACAGAGTGGACGTGGGTAACTGGAGGGTGCAGTCCTGCCCGGCTGAGAGTCAGCCTCAACTTCAGCACACAAGCCTTCGAGTTTGAAGGAAGATGAAGACAAGTTGGCTATAATGAGACAAATCTGCAATTTATGACAAGCAAAAGGCGCTGGAGAGAAATATTAACAATGCCAGGGTTATGCATTCACATGCCAGCAGAGGGTAGCCCTGACCATGTCATGGGCTACATGTCACTAGTCTGAGCTTGACCACCTGCTGTGCTCTTTGGGGCATTCTGGAGCTCCTACCAACTACCTTTCCATGTGACATGCACTGGGTGGTCACATGAGGTTGACCCCAACGAGCAAAAATATATCAAGGATAGGTGAATAAGGTAAAACAGATCAAACACATTCATAAATGGACCCTGTGATAGGCTTTTCTAATTGTTTTCACCACTGCTGTTATTCATTAGAAATTTCCACTTTTCAAAAAATTCATTCTTACCCACAACCTTCATCTTTATGGTTCTAGTGAGATTATAAGTTCTTCCGTGGTCCTTGAACGTCACAATGCAAGTGTAATTCCCTTCATACACACTGCGAACAATGCCGATGACAAGCTTGAATTTTTGGGGATATCGTTCATAGAAGTCACTAATCAACTCGCAGTTCTAGAGTAGAGCAGAAAAGCCCTTGAGTTTTGGTACTCAAACTTGAAGATATTGAATTAATGCTACTACATTTTTTTTTTAAGCTATGAATATGATACTTCTGATTCTGTGTAGACCAAACTTATCTGCTATAAATCCTGAGTATGGTCCAACAGGAACTGGTGGCTTCACTTGGAAAACAAGCTGATAAAACAGATGGCCTTCACAGTTTTATCCCATCTTAGACCTGGGCAATTTTCTAAAGGACAGAGCTATGATCTGCAAGTATATTTGCAAGAAAGACGAACACCTCAGCAGAAGGAAATGAAGAAGTAAAAAGAGAACATGTCCCCAGATGATGACAGCTTCTCTAACTCATCTGCAGCTAATCAAGGTACCCTCCCTGACATGGCTGTGAAAAAGGCCCCAAAATGGGCAACCGACAGAGGAAAATCTGTAGTACAGAAACATTAATATCTCTTCTCTTCCTGTCTGATGAGGCAGGAAACCTCTGCCAAGCTAGAGATTTCTTTTCAGGAAGGGACTATGCAGATCGCATCTCGATAGTCATAAAACCCAAAGATATACACATTTCTTAATAGATTATTTCTGAATAGTACATTTCCAAGTCGGATATATCCTAATGGATTAATTTAAGACAGAGGTCATACAACATTTTTTATGTTTCTTATTAGGCAAGCAATGGCATGCTGCCTGCAAAAATTATTTGCATGGGGCTTTTTGTTTAATTCAACTAATTGAAATGTGAATTTCAATGATTGGTACAAGTAAGGCATTACAACTACTGGAGTGAAACTGCTCCTCTTGGCTCCAAATGCATTTTTTCCTGCTGAACTTTGGAGCTGGATATCTTTTCTTTTTCTTTTTTAAAGCACATATATTAATTGACAACTTTCTTTATTATTAAATTCCCTTATAGAGCATCTTCTTATCTAGAAATCTGAAAGTGTTTCACAAGCAGTTAGAGAATTCAGTCCCATAACCCTCTGGCTGCCCATTCTCTGAGAATTTCTTACTCTCCCTTGATTAAAGGCATCCACCCAGAGAATGACACTGAGGACAAGATATAATAAAATGAGCACTAATTTTGTATGCTTGCCTGGAGATAGCTGAAAACAGTCTGGTTTTCAGAGCAGTAGGGAAGGGGTGTCCACACCTTCAGAAATGAGGTCCACTGAATTGCATCAAACTGGCCTCCCATGGCCCTTGGATTGGCCTTGCATGTACAACTTCATCATACGACCTCATGGGATCTTAGGAAGGATGTTACTTTCTCTAGCTCACGAGGAGGGTTTTTCACTGAAGAGGGGAACTGAGTCACAGCTTTGTTTATGGGGCTAATGACTTGCCCACACCACAAGTCATTGATACTGCTAGGAACTAAATTCAGGTTCCTGTCACAGAATTCCTGTCAGAGTGTTTTCCACTTGGACACACTGGTTATAACTTTTCCATGTTAGCTCTCGATTTTATACAAATTCCTTACAAATTGAATTCAATAAAATAAAATCCTTTATTCTAGCTCTGCTAATTTTAAGAGTTTTATTTCTATTAAGACCCTGAAACATAGCTCCCCAATTTTCATGCCAAGCATTGAATAATGTCCTTCTTACCCTGTACCATTTGAAAGTTGGTGTTACACTAGCAGGATAAAACCCATCAATATCTGGACATATAATCTTCTCATTAGCGTGCTCCAGGTAGAACATCTCCTCAGTTGGTTTTATGGAATGACTGACACAGGAGTGTTGGTCTTTTGCAACTACTTCCAAGGGAAACGCAACTTTGCTGCAATAGGTTGTATTTCTGAGGAGAGAGGAGGGTATGGTTGATGAAACAAGAATAGTTCACTTATGTAGTTGTGGAATGAAATAACAACAACAACAACACAACAACAAAATCAACAATAATAAAAATAAACAGCATTAAGGAAGATTATAGCTCTGATGTGCAATGTACAGCCTCAGTTGACTAATTTGCATATGGGAAAGAAATCATCAGCAGAGATGGCCACACAGTACCTCAGAAAATCCTATAAACATGACTAACAAGCAGCATCCACTCTCCTGGTATAAAGGAGATAATAGGGTCAAAGACATAATGAACAAGAGACATTATGAGAAAGGGATCAGAAAGCGCTCTTGTGCTCAATGCACAGCAGATGCTGTGTTCATTTTATACTAAACTTAGAGACACTTTTAATTTCCTAGAAGTCTGAATCTCATGAATCTTCGCCAAATTTGCATGCAGGCAAAACATTACCCCCGTATCTGAAATTATTTTTTACTCTAGACGTACAGATCACTTCTTAATGGTGAGTGCCTGTGGATTTTGCCATGGGCTCTGCAATAATATTTTCATGGACACTTGCAGTTAGCAAGGAGAACACGTTCATTACTGTTTGCAAGACTCCGAGCATTATTACCATGTAAATTGGCTCAGTCCTGAACACTCTTATAATTGTAACTTGTTTTTTAAATTCACATTAATGCTTACGGTCTTCTCCCTACAGAAGATCTGAAGCTAACAGCACAATTTTCATGTATCCATGAAAGTTCTTTGTCCTGAAGTCTGGTACAGGAGCTATACCACACAACCTACCTGAGCATGCAAGTATAATTCCCAGTGTCATTGAGAAGGGCAGGCCAGAACCAAAGGGTGTCTTTCTCCTTACTGATGCGATTGTCTGGGAGACGAAAGTTAATGGGCTCTTCCAGATCCCGGTCCTGCCCAATCCTGTACCAGATCAGCGTTAAGCCAGCAGAATGGGCTGTGCTGTAGTTGTACTTCAGGAAGGTCTCAAAGAGAGGGCATTTGATCTTGGCAGGTTCTCCATCATAAATCTGGATCTGTTTCATGGTGTCCACACCCCAGTCGTCACAGCGTTCTGCAACCAGGAAGAACGGGTGACTTAGCTTGCAAGTCCACAGGAAAAATACAGTTCTGCCCATGTTTCCCATAGCCCATGGTCCTGCCCCCCCTGAAACAAGAGGCAGTAATCTAGTGTTTTCCTCAGACGCAGTCCCGAATGTTACAAAGCAGCTCAAGAACATTGGTTTTTGTTCTGGATATGGGACTGGATGCAAGTGAAGCACAGTTCCAGCGTGCCAGCTAAGCTGGAAGCATCTTGCAATCCCCGTGCCCATTGAGATGCATAATGACGTGCACGAACCACCTTGCACTTCCCACCCCACTGTGCTGACAAGGCACGGCACGGCACCCAGTTCCCCAGCACATCTCTTGTGGCTGCTGGGAAGCGCTACCTGGGGCAGCCTGATGTCCCAGAGTCAAGTCAAAGAGAAAAGGGGTGCTGCCCTTGTGCTGCTCGCAGCTGCGCCCGGGGAGGTGTCTCAGTATATCACAGGAACACCAGAGATCACGTCGCAAAGCCTCTCTGGTTGGCAGATATTAGAAGAACGTGGACAGAAAAACGGAGTACAATATGTTCTTTGAGCCCAATACTTCTGAACTGACTTCAGAGGCCCAAAGCAGGATTCCTGGCATTTTATCTTCCCTAAATAGACACTAGGATGTAGCTTGGCCCCAAATTCATACTTAATTTTAAAAAGCAAAGAGACAGGCTTACAAACCTTTGAGAAGTCGGGGCTCACAGTGCTTAAAGGCAGCGATGCTAACTCATGTGGCTCAGCAATGTTTAGTCACATTGAGGAGGAATCTGGGCCAATAAGAATAGAAATGTTTTCTGGCTGTTTTATATATAAACATAAATGCAAACTGAGCTGCTCCTCCTATGGTATGCCAAACACCTACATGATGGACTCCTGCTTCCAGAGAAAGAGAGGGAAGTGGCATAGGAAGAGGCGGTGAAGCTGATGCACACAGGTATGCTTTAGCGGGAGACAAAAAAAAAAAAAAAAAAAAAATGCTGGAGAGTGCAGCTAGCTCTTCATCTTAGAAGCACACAGATATTTCAAAAGTTCACAGCTTCAGCCAACTTCCTTGCTTTACAGCCAGCCCAGGGGCAGCTTCCGAGTGATCAAAACCACTGCTGAAAGCCTCATACCACAAGAAGGTGCATAACCACTAATCACTGCCATGGGCAAGGCCAACTGGAACCAGTATGCTGCTTAATACTGGCAGGGACAAGTTTCCAGAGCGGCAAACAAGACAAATGAGTCTGCCAGTGACTGCCTACTAATTGCACGATGAAGTTCTGATTGCTTTTTGTGTGAGGTCATTTGTTTTTATAAAGAAAGCCTTTCCCTTCTGAAAGGAGCGAGGCCTCGGGAGCCTTTTGGGCCTATAAATCAGGATACTGGGGTTTCCTTCCTTGCACCTGACTTTGCTGTGTCCTCTTGGGCTTCATAAAGGCAAATTGTCCTTATTACTTCAAATGGCAGCACTGGAGAGTGAGAAAACTGTATCGGAAATTACACTGAATTTCTGCACTGAAATTATTGGAGTCGAGATCAATGAATTTTGCAATCATGAACAGCGCTCTGCATTTCATAACAGCTCATAAATCAGTATTGTGAAACTACTTACCGCTTCTACCTGAATTGGTAATTGAAAATAAATTGTTTTCAGCTGGCTAAGGGAAAAATAAGTAAATAAATAAAAAGGTTGGATACACCTTGCTTTCTTTGTTGGGAGAGGGAGAGGAAGCTGTTAATTGTTATTCACTATGATGAGCGAGGTACATGAAGATTTTCTCTCAAAGTTGACTAATTGTCCCAACTTCACGTCACTGTCACATTGAATGGTCAATCCCAGGCTTGTGCGGTGAGGACAAGTTTAGGTGTGTTGTGTCCTGGGGTGCTGCACGCTCCAACCTTAGCCCCAAATGCCACAAATTACCATGCCAAGTAAGAGCAGCTATACCGCCAACCATGGAAGTCGGTTCCATGTGCGACTAACACCAGCATCCAAATTTCTGGATATCAGTCTAAACTGGAGACAGCTAAAGCAAGGTCATGGGACTTCACACAATCTCAATGGACCCCCAGCTCACACTGGGAAAAAAATATGTATATATACTTACATATTGATATATCCTGGTCCCAATACTAATATTCAAGAGGGCATGACAGATCCCAAGGAGAGAACATGCAAGAATCCACTTCTCACTGTGAAATACAGCATTAAATTTATGGTTCTGGGCCAATCTGCACCAACTCAGGACCATGCTCTCACTGTTTAAGCTGAAAAAATGAATTTTTTCTCTATTGATTTTGTGTGTGTGTGTGCATGCACTAAGAGAGCTGTTAGGGTTAAGAATAGCAAAATCAAGTGGGATTGGCATTCACTAAGTGACTTCAGGAATTCATTAGACAAATGGAAATCCAGTCTAGAGGCTATAAGTGACTCTATGGTCCTTTCCACGCAGCAGCAAGTGGAGCACAAAACACGTAACTGAGGGAGAAGATAAAATTCTAAAAATCCACCATTCCACAAACGCATTTTCCTTGAAACGCCTCTGCAAAAGACCTTTGCAAGAAGTCACCCTTTTCTCAGTACTGATCATGCGCAGTGCAGAGCTCTCAGCTGACCCTTCTCTCTGCTGGGTGCTCTACAACCACAAAGCAGAGCAGTCCATCTCCCGTAATACCTACCACTTACAGCACAGGAAAAGTGCAAGAAACAGAACATATCTATTCTTTTCCTTCTCACTGCATTGACAGCAAACCCAGGCAGCAAGGGGACTGACTCACCTAGGGTCACAGAGAGAGTTAGTGGTGGGAGCCAAGCCCAGTCCAGTCCCCAAGCCACCAGACACAGAAAGGGCCAGGTAGGAAGCATCACATGCTGCAGAGGGGCAAGGAGATCTGGAATGGGAGTCAAAGAGAAGCAGAGAGAGAGGGAAAAGCCAGGCAATAAAAGCACTGCTGTGTGGCCCAGGATGGCTATTCAGAGATTGTAGGCAGAATAGAGGGTGTTGCTGCAGTGCTGTATGGAAAGGGATGATGATTATACAAGAAGGTTGCATATTTGAAAGGAATAAATAAATAAATAAATAAATCTACCACCTCCAGCACAGGAGACAGAAAGGACACAGCAAGGATGCTGATCTTGTTCCACCTGCCTGGAGATGAAGATGAGAGCAGACTGCTTCTTTCTACTGCTCTCCTCTGGTGCTACTTTGCATAGAGAAATGAGCTGGCAAAGTTAACTCCCAATGTCTTCCTGGCTTGGGCTGTCTGTTGTGGCCCTTGTTCATGGAAGATATCTACTACTGATAGCAAGGAGAGCTCTCTCTCCTGTCAAAGGAATTGTCATTGCCATTTCTTAATCTGGTGTTATGACATCCTTAAACATCAGCCATATCAAACAAGATTATTTTTCAGAAGCCAAAAGATGAAGAAAGTGCCTCCCTGAGACACAAAGTAAAAAGCAAAAGGTAGAAAGGAAAATAATTATGTTGCTCAGCTGTGTAAAGGTGAAAACATTTCTTAAAACTTGTTCAACCTTTTACTTACTGCACTGATTCACCCACTTGGGAACAGGCTCTGAATTCACCCATCAAAATACTTCCTTCCAAAAGGTATCTGCAATACCCATTAGCAGCACCCACACACTCCAAACACCCAGGGGGAACTGGTGCAATTATTTGGACTGACAAGGGGAAAAACTGCTGAACTGAGGGATTAAAAAAGCCATAGAGTGAGACCAAATCAAGAAATGCTACCCCAATTTGCTGCAGTTTGGCAGTTTTATGCAATCATTTTAAGTATCTTCACAGCAACTCCATTTCAAAAACTTTCCGCCACCGAAATCTGATTAGCTCCCCTCTGCCTCCACCCCTTCTCTTCCTATCCCTCCCCTGGGGCTACCTGCAAAGGCTTCCACTAGTTAAAATTTCCGTGAAGAAACAGTCAACAGCCGCTCTTATGACAGGCCATCCATCATGTCAGCATAAATTTCTCTTCCATTTGCCAAATCAATGAGTCCTCCTTAATTGCCTCCGACCCCGGGAAGGGGGATTACCCTGCACACGGAGCAGGGTTTGCAGCGACAGCGGGACCTGAGGCTGAATTACAGAGAGAAGTGCTCCGAGCTCTCCTTCCCCACATCATTTCGGTGGCTCTGTCAGACAGGGTGGCTCTACCTTAACAGCTTCTTCAGCTGCCACCGCTGTGCTAGCACAGGGTGAAGCTAATCCGGCTCCATGCAGGGTTAGCAGGGAAGGCAGCAGTTAGCTTCATAGAGGAATTGGCATCAGTGGGGCAGAAAAAGCTGGCCAGGCAAGTAATTCAGTGAGAATTAAGCATTACCACCTTAAAAAAGAAAAAAACCTCCACCCTCTTTCAAGTTCACAGCGGAGAGTGACAAAACACCAGAGGAAGTTGGGTTGAGGAACAGAGCTTTACTTAGAATAAAGAAGGTGCCATTTGTGGCCAGCAGCCACATGTGGGCACAGTTTCCATATACACTGGTGGCAGGAGCACCAACCCTCACACCGCATTGGTATCAATTCTGTCTGGTTTTTAAGTTTGCACTTACACGGGCACAAGTGCATCCGACAGCAGCCTGCTCTGTGGCTGTGTGTTTTGTTCAACAGCTGAGAAATACAGCAGGGAAATGTGGCCTGTAGCTCATCCAATTCCACAGCAAAGGGGTGGGAGGAGGGTGCAGAGCAAAAAGGGATAGCGGAGTTTCTGCTCGCACTGCAGGACGTACTGCTCTAGGCCCCCTGAATCAGGGCTTGTGTCAGCCCAACCCAAAATCACCTGGCTGATTTTGTTCCCAATATTTTCCAAGGTGGCAATTGCGGTCAGATATCTAGAAAGTGACTGGAGCTCAACACTGTCCAGACAGGCCACCAAGGAAATTTTAGGAATTCTGCAGGAACTTATCACCTGGCTTCCAGTCAGGGAATGTTAAAAAGGCCTCCCGTAACCTCACTGCCTTCTTCACTCAGCCTCTTCA